AATTCTGGTGTCCTGGCGAAACCCTACGGAACTGGATCCATCTGGTTTTTGTCAGCATCTGACGGACTTCAGAAATTTCTAAAAACTGGAAGCAGGGCGCAATAATTATTATATTCAAACGTAGGAATCGTTCTGATTGCGCCAACTACCGTGGGATCACGCATATGCTTGTGATGGAAAATGTTGGCGCGAATCCCTCTCTGAAGACTGAAGAACACAGCTGAAGATTCGCTTCGATCAAATCATAAAAGGTTTGGAATTGGACTCGCGAATACGGATAACATCGCTGTACTAAAGAAGATAATTGAACAGAGAATGAGTTTCCACCTACCCTGACATTTTTCGACGTTTGAGCTTCCGACGCCGTCAGTACTTGTGGCGCATACTGCGACACTATCGAGTACTGCAGGTCATCGGTCTGCTGAAAGGAATGTACGAAGGAATTAAAGGCGCCACCAGAGCAGAAGAGTCATTTTACAACTGGCATTATCTAGAACTGGCACAAACATCAACAGTGGAACGCACGAAGGAAAGGTGCTTTAACCTATATTATTCAACATTAAATATTAGTAACGAATTTATTATCAGACGATGACTCAATCGAAGGCATCCAGTAGTACTCATAACAAATCTCGAGTACGCTGACGACAATGTACTGCTGGGCGTCTCCGCCAATGGCTCACAGGTCAAACATCGAGAATGGTGGAAGCTGGCTTCAACAGTAGGCCTAGAAGCTAATCCCACCAGAACTTAGATCTTGTGAGCACCTGACTCGACTAACGACCCTAAGATTCAATAACGTAGAACGACCATCGAGGAGATTGAAAACTTTAAGCAAGAGGATGGAAGCTCTGACATGGAAGTAGAATGGTGCTACGGGCTGGCATTTTTGAAATTTGGGAAACTTTCTAAAGTGAGGCAAGACCGACCTTTTTGGGCAGCAACAAAGATCGAGACCACCATATTGAAAGCCGCCGCATTTCAGTCCTGATGTACAACCTTGAATCATCAATTCCTTTAAAGTGTCATGAAATCTTGTTGAACACTCTGCAGCAGCGCTGCCTGAAGAGGTTTCATCAGGTAGTTCCATCAGATGAGAAACGAAAAGATCCTGGAGACGACCAGCCTGAATAAGTCAGAAACCGGCGTCTTTCGTGGCTTGACAGAACCATTCAGAGAAAGAACGGAGACTTATTTAAAACCATTCTCCTCTGAAAAACAAAAAATGACTGAAGGGGCGTAGGAGGCCTAAAGCAGCTGCTAAAGGCGAACCTGCCTGTGAGAGGAACATTACCATTGCTGAAACAAGGAACATGGCCTAAATTATTCTGAGAAGCCAAACCTTCAGACAGCATTAATCTGGGTACTCGGTCCTTGACTGTAATACCACAGATGAAGATGATAACACACACAACAACACACATCAAGTCGGTAACCCAAAACTACTCAACAAGCAGCATGGGCCAAACGCACACCCTCGGCTCTACACGCCACAACAGCTGCGGGC